AACACTTCAGACAAAATATTTATTTATTTTTCAGTTGCCTAAACGTCATTAGTGAGAATCAAAAGTAGTTAGCGAAAATCAGATTTTAGTGTTCTTTCCGAATATCTGATCAGAATATTTCTCTGAGTTAATATTGATTAGGGATGAACCAAACTTTTAAGAGTCGACAACGATATTTGGACAGAATTTTATTGAATGTATTTCTGTGTTTAGATCAATACCTATTCCACTCAAAACATGAAAGATATTGGCATTAGCCAATTTTATAGAGTCAAGTTCGCTCTACAAACTATGCTATTTACTTTGGTTGTCTATCTCAAAGCAAAGACATGAAATCTGTTGTATTAACAATAGCAGAATCCGGAAAACTGACTTTTTGACAGAATTTTATTTTACATACAAATCAATTCTAAACAAAAACGTCTATAGCCTTTCATTCATTCGAGTTGAAGCCTATTGCAATATATAGTTTTATAGAAAATTGAATGGTCTACAAATTGCCAATTTAGAATTGCTTAAAAATCCAATCTTTACAAACGATAAATAGAAGAAAAACATGTTATTCCTTCTTCTTCAAGATGTGCTTTTTCGCCTCTTTCCAGTATCAACTTACAGCTAACCAATCTTAAGCCAAAGAGATATATTCTGAACACATATTATAGAAGAGCAGATAAGACTGATTCTAACGAGCTAATTTTGGTTTATACTCAATACTTTTAGCGACTGAAAAATGGAAAAAAAATCATTTTTGACTGTGTAAAATATTTGGCTCATCCCTAGTCAATACTAACTCAGAGAAATATTCTGATCAGATATTCAGAAAGATCACCAAAATTTGATTTTAGCCAACTACTTTTGATCCCACTGATGACATGTGGGTAACTGGAAAATGAATAAATATTTTGTCTGAAGTGTTTTGCAACAGAGGTTAAATATGATTCAAATTTCTTTTTTCATATTTCTCAACACTCATCAACAATCGTCTTTCAGTGAATGTCAATGGTTCATTAATGATTGCCTTCTGTTTTGAAGTAACCTTGCTTGTTTGTCTTGATATTCTTGGTTTTCCTCACATGTCGCTTCCCATTCATCAGCTGTGACATTCTGTAGACTATGTTTGCCCTTTTTGCAACAGCCTATCATACCTCCCCTGAATAATGTCTGATGGCAACAAATAAATTTGAAACATTGTTTCCTACGTTTAATGTATTCCTTTTGTTGTGATGTGGGTGTGGGTATATATGAGAAAAAAATCCCATAGCCACACCCACACCCTGCATACTATATTTTTTTCGATTATTTCTCCATACTGTTGCAGTTCGATCCAATTTTATATCAGAAATACATGCTTGATTACTCAACTTATGCTAAAAGTTTTAGCTCTATTGGGTGAGAATTCGTGGAGAAAACTACCTATATGTCTCAGACACTAATATGCTACTGAAACCAAGTCTTGGTATATCATTGATTTCTCAGTTGTTTTATATTTTATTTGAGACTTCAGTTGGTGATTAGTTATGTCTTAGACACGCCTTTACAAGAAAACATCTTTGATAACATTCATGATTGAGATAAATTACACCCACTTGGATGTACACATATAAAATCGTCATTGCAGTAAAAATACATATAGTCTCTTAAAAGATGAAAGAGTGCGTTCCATATCACGTATGATATTCATATGCCCGGTGCTTGTGTATATCAACGTTCAAAAAGAAAAACATTAGTACACAAAAAATATTCCAATTGCTTTTATTCTTAACATTATGCGATTCGAGTGATATTATAGAAAAAAAAAATGTTAAAATGAAATGAATAAACATTGAATTGTGTCGGACTTTTTTATCGAAATACATTGCAAATTAATGGTATAAAATTTATTGTACATAAATACAGAAAAAATTAAGAAATACTATATTTTTTTATTGTGCAAGTAAATATTGAATAAATTGTAAATTTTGTTCCAAAAAAATTCTAATAAAATAGGTCTATTAAAAGCTAATTTATTATCAATAATATTGGTTCTTATTTATGTAGAAAATTTAAAAATTGTGACACCAAATTTATCTCAATCTGAATAATGAAATTACTCGAAATTATTTTTGACATACAAGAAAAGTTGGGTGTGGGTGTTAGCCTTCATTAATCAACACTCGCACTCACATCCGACATAAAATTGAAAATCAAGTGAAAAAATCCAATGAAATTTTAGATTTATTGGAAAATTTTCTAATAGAAAGTAATTCACAAACCACTGTTGAACTCTAAAGATTAATACCGATGAAAAACATTACAAAATCAACAATGCAATATTTTGAAATTTTATAATTTATTGCTGATTAATTCAGCACAAATAATGCCATATATTAGAGAGCTTAGTTTAAACGGTGTTGATTTGAAGTAATATTTGATCGAATAGCGTAAGAGTAAAAAGACATATAGATAAGTTTTTAACTGCGAAGATGGCAATAGAGCATGTTTAACTCTATTTTAAATAGTTGATTTTTTTATATTTATACATGCTACATTTTACTCACAATAATGATAAACTACTCAGAGAACATAATCAATTAGACAAAGGGTTACAAGATAAAGCACAATAGAAAAGTTTTTGTTCTATTCATCAACTTCACCCAATTTATTATGAGCATTCCTTCTGATGTGATGGTGATATTGATCCAAGAAGTTATTCATATTATCTATATATTTCATCGTAAAATAAAGGCTAATATAGTATTTTACTATCAAATGTATTTGTTTTCGTCGATCGTTTTCGTTATATTCAAAAAGATTGTTATCGTAAAGCTACGATTTTACGCTGTATAAATTCTCATCTTGAATTCATTCATATGATTAGAAACTTTGAATAGAGATGTTCTACTTATCTAACGTTACTACAACAGTAGTCTCATATTTCTAGACGTTATGGGCTCATCTTTTATAAATATTCGAACTTTCATTCTTATGTGTTTTTAAATTATATGAAGATGTGCTCATTGGGTGTGGGTGTAGATGTACAGGTGTTAGTCTTATCTTCATCCTTACAGCCACACTCACTGGCTTCTCATTTTCATGAAAGAGATAGTTCAAATCTTATGAGCGCTTTAATAATGGATGTTGTACTCATCTCGTACTAGCACCTGTTTTTTAGAGTCCATTAAACTCTCACGTAATTTCAACAGACTATCGTTTAGCTTTGTGAGATATCCCATTTATCGGTTCAAGATTTGGTCATTTTTCTGTCAACTTAATCAAACTTTTCATCATTTCAATGACCATTAAACGTTCACATGTATTTTTTATGCAGGTTGTGAGTTTTTTTTTGATCTCTACCACTTATTACACTTTGAAAAAATATGGCTTCGATATATGAGACATTAATTATGTTTTATTTAAATGAAACCCAAAACATTTTCAGCTTTTAGTTAGTATTTTGAATAAAATATTTTTATAGTAGAGATTTTGTTCTTTCTAATAAGAAAACAATCAAGCCTTCATAAGGAATTGTTTTTATGCTATACTGAAATTAAAATTAATTCCATACTCTTGTAGCATTCGTTATTTCACATAGTCAATGAATATTTTCAGCGAAACAAAATCAATTCTTTATTTTATCTTTTCTTTTTTTTTTGTATGTTCTTTTTATTGTGTTTTTAAAAGAAAACTATTCATCTGTAGATGGAGTTGGTTATCATGAATAAATATGGTAAATTAGTATTGTCAGACATACTAGTCCAATAGTCTTGAAGACCATGTGTCAGAATCAAACTTTGAAATAAAACTACGAGAGATAAATATTGAATTCATGTTTATTTTCAGATGGCAAATATTCAAGAAGTTTTAACAATGCATGAAAAAATTAAGGGAATCATAAATTATCCGATGTGGAAAAGACTTTTGAAGCATTTCCTGTATTAAAATATAGTTGGAATTACATTTGTTTAAGAAAATGTCATTTTTTATCTTTCTTAAGAATCAATTTGATGAAGATGGGTTTTATCCGTAAGATTTCAATGAAGATATATATAATTTATGGATTACACAAATAATATTATTTCTTCGATTGATCATTTTTCGCGAGCACCTTTTCAATAGGTAATACATTTAAAATTGCTGCTTCATATGCAATAGCAACTGATGATATATCAAGTGTTAAATGTTTTCGTATACAATTGAAACAATTTTACTTTGATCTTGATTATATATTGAATATATACTTTTGCTTAATATCTTGCAGTGTTACTTTATCGGTTTGAACCTGAAAATCTACTTATCATGAATTATTTTTTGGAAAATGAATTATTTCAAGGAATGATATATAGTTAGACACTTGAAATGGTTGTTGTTTCCAGATTGAAAAGAAATTTTTCATTTCCAGGATCGTTTTTTGTCTTCTATCCTATTATTTTGTCACGGCCTATTACCTTTCCATGGTAATACCTATTGTAATCTGCGATGGGAGATGTATGTGTACGAATCTCTACTCTATACACTTTAACACTCGTTTTAGATCGTGTTTCATATAGAAAAAGATAGTAGATTTTTTCAATTATTTAACAAAAAAACAGTCTTGCTATCCAACTTAGCAAGCGTAGCTAAGAAATGATAAATAGAAGTTTCATTGTTTATGAGTTTATAGCTTATTAGAGATTGTATACAACATTCGAGAACTATTTCGATTCTATACTTTATTATTTGAAATACTTTGTTTTTAATATTAATTTGTATTTTTCATCATTTATATTAAAATAATTGTTGAATGAAATTTTTGATTCATGAAATTATATGTTATATGGAAATATCATATAGAAAAAATTTCAAAGACTTTGTTTTATTAATTTAATTTTCAAAAGAATAAGATTTTCTTTTTTTTTGGTATAGCATGAATAGCAACTACAATCAGATCGAACATTATATTTTCATAATAATCCATTGAAATTTAAAAAATTAATGTTAAACTTCTTTTTTTATTGCGTTTTCTTATTCAGATAAATTCAAAAATGAAAGATTATTATTATCTTTATGTTTTAGATAAATTTAAACAAAAAAAAAGAATGTTTAATGTAAACTTTTCAGCTAAAATTAAAGAAGCTGAAGAACATATAAGACAAGGTGAAAAATATTTGAAAACATCATTTCTTAAATGGAAACCAGATTTAGATTCAGCTATTGATGAATTTGATAAAGCATGTACTTGTTATCGTGTAGCTGAAAAATATGAAAAATGTCGAGATTTATCATTACGATTAGCTGATTTACAAATACAAAAAGGTAACATCTAATTCATTTGTATTTCAATGAAGAAAAATAAATGAAATATTATATTAGAAAAAATTCTTGTAATAATGAAAATATAAATATAATTCAATAGTTGAAAAAAGAATGACAATTATATGTTATTTAAATATTCGTCTGATGATAAAGAACCTTTGTTTTTTCCTATTGTTTCAATAAATTATTTTGTATAAATGTGTGTTCATATTAATCCAATAGTAAAATTTGCAATATTTCGTAAGAATAATTCAGAAATACTCTGTATCGATGAAACGGAAAAATATCTTTTCTTTCATCTTCTTTAATATCTAGTTGTATATATGTTTGAGATTGTCTTATAGGATCAAAGAATTCTTAAACTTGTTTACAATAGGGTGTAATGATTTAGAATTATTTTGATGGTTTAGATTCTATTTGATTAAGTCAAATAACAAAAAAATGACATGTTGTCAGATTCGGAGATTTATTTAAATAAAAATTTGATGAGTTTGTTTCTATATTTCTTTTTTTAGTACTATATTTTAAGTAATTAACTCAAATTTTCGAGAACCTCATCGAAGCTCTTTTAAAGAGCACAAAATTGTGAACAAAATGAGGAGTTCAAGAATTTTCTACTGGCTTTACATAAAAAGTGTTACAAGAGCCATCAAAAAAATCGATTAAAATATGTCTTTTTTTTTTCAGTTCTTTTGATAATTTTAAGTTTTTAAGGGAAGATTGTAAAAAATATGACGAGTCCTCATTTTCTATAGGATACTAAGAATAAAAACAAATTAATAAGACATACTGATAGCAACCCGTCTTAAATTCGCACAGGTACCAGCTTCATCTCTGCACGATCTAGATTTTAGCTAATTACTTAAGATAATAGAAAAATTATCAAAAATGTATTATTGTTAAATCTTTTTCGAATCGTCTTAGAAAGGAAATCTTTTAAAACTTGCTATAAGAAACTTATATAATGATTGTTGATTTTAGGAACTCCATTTTTTGCTGGTAAATCATATGAACAAGCAGCACAAATGACACAACAAATACAAGATTTGCTAACAGCATCTAAATATTTCGATCGAGCAGGACAATTATATGTTGAAGGAGGTATAAATTCTTTTTTTTATTTTTAATAGAAATTAAAATAATATCAAAAGAAAAAGAAGTTGATTTAAAATTTTTTTTGTTTAAGGTTATCGTGATTCTGCTGCAATTCTTTATGAACGTTGTGCACCACAATTTCAACAATTAAATCGTTCTATATCAATTGATTTTTATCTTAAAGCTGCACGTTTAGCTGAACAAGAAGAAAAATTATATCAAGCAGCTGATTTATATGAAAAAGCTGCTATGCAAGCGATACGTATGGGTAATTATCAACAAACAACTGAATTACTTGAAACAACAACAAATACTCTTACAAAATTAGAACGATTTGATCGAATTAATCGTGTTATACTCTATAGAATATTACTTAAATTATTTAATGATGATAGTGTTGCTGCTCGAAATATTTTTGATCAAGCTTGTCAAATTTATCCAACATTTGATCGATGGGAAGAACGAGATTATATTGAATTATTACTTGATGCATTTGATCAAGATGATAAAGATTTAATTAGTCAACGTTGTCAAGTAATTCAGTTTTTTTTTATTTTTTATTAATTATACATATTTTAAATTTTCTTCTAGAGTCCTTATTTCATGGCAATTGAACCTGAATTTGTTCGTTTAATTAAACGATGGATTCGTCCAACAACAAAAACACAAACAACAAATAATATAAATCAACAACAACCAACAACTTCATCGACCAGTGGAATTAAACCAATACAATTAGATGATGACGAAGATGATATACGTTAATTGATATTTTTTTTTTACATTTTCTTCTCTGTATTTACACATGATAACTCTTGTTTGGAAAAACTGTTTCTATCTACTGTTGTTTCATGTTTATGATGAATAATTGATGTTTGACATTTCAATCTTTTATTTTTTAATTATATTAACATAATGAAATATTCTACAACAAGGATTTTTCTAGCAAGATTCTTATAGATATATGCTTAGGCATCATTTGATTTCTAGATGTTTTTACTGGATGTGTATATATGAGTGATTCGAAGTCGATAAGTTCTACAAGAATCTGAATATCGAGAAAAGTTCTGATCCTCTTTCCAATAGGAAACTCGAGAAGAACCAGAAAAAGTAATAATAATTTTTTATATACTTGCATTGTAGAGAGGTATAGTGACCTTTTGAGAAACTTCAATCGATCGACTGTTTTTATGTATTCATGGAGCATTGAACTCTAATTAACCATACATACATGCCTAGTAGAAACATGTAGAATACTAGATGCAAAACGATTAGTAATGGATAAAAATATCAACGTGACTTCAACACAATTGAAATCATTTTTTTCAGATAACAGCTATTATCATTCTCTAGAAAACTGTATACTTCAGTATCGATTTTAAACTTGGACATATTTCATCAAGAATAGATACATGAATGTTAGTCTTCTCTTCATTCAAATTCTTTTCATAATTTATTCATCATTCCTTATTTATTCTAGTTTATTAGGTTGTACAACTATACTGTGTAAGTGAAGGAAGTTAGTATACACCATTGCATTTAATAAGAGATACCAAACCAGTTGACATTCCATCCATATGATTGAGAATAACCAAGTATTACTGTATTAATTGTGCCATCCAGCGAAAGACCATAGATCGTAAATGAATTCTTTGTCGGAAAATAAATAGCAGTATAACCAGCTAGTGACCAGTGCGAGCTAGTGCCAGCCACACTAGTGAAATAGAGTGGAGTTGAAGTAAAACTACAATTACTTGTATCAATGTTCATTGTTATTCCGTTGGAAGAAAATAGTTGCCATAGTGTATAGGATGAAAGACCTCCGCAATAATATATTTGTTTTGTTACTACCGTTGCATTCGTCAGAGTCACTGTGGTCGGAGCTAAAGAAGAACAACAAAACATATGACTAGTATCTCAAAGCTGATTGATTGGTGAGACTTCTCCGTATAGGACAAAGAGAAAATTTATTTGTTTCGTTTGGACCTATCTTCAAGAAAATAACATAGCAAAAATATTGACTTTATCTCAGATCGAACAAAAACTGATAAAAAATAACTATTTAAATTTTTTTTTTAGTGTGGACAAAATTAAATATACTATTTTATTATGCAAATCTAATATTTTCGATGTACAAAAAAAAATATAAGTCATCACATGGATTATAAACCATTGTAGGTTAAATCGAACGACATCAACAACTAGTAGTCAATCCAAAACTTAAAAGCATATAAAAAATATTGAGAAGCTTCCTCTAGAAAATTTATATCGATCTTATATCATGTGGCTTTACATAGAACCTTTCTCAAAAGTGATTCTGCTTGAAAAGACACTCGTTATGGTTGCGAAATTCTGTTGTTATAACTAATTTCTTTTAACAATAACTGTCAAATGGATTATATTTTTTCTTGGATGAAGACATAATTATGTGCTGAAAAAAACTCTTGAGAACAAGAATCAACACTGTGAAAATTTGTAACAACTATCAAAATTGGAACTTGAAAAGATACATTCGTAATGGCAATCATCTTTACAAGTGATACGCTTGAAATTTGAAGTAAAACGGAAATACTCACTGATTGTTGTTGTGATTGTTGTCGAAACACTTGTTGTGGATCCACTTGTGTAGGCTATAACAGACACAACAAAACATTATGAAATATGGGCTTCATTTAGATGCAAAAAACAAAACACTTGGGCGATTGATTCTTATCTTCTTTCTTCTGCTGAGAAATTAATTTTAAACAGCTTCTGACATGAGAGACTTATAGTTATAGATAAATCATGAATAAAAAGAAGATATGACAATTCTTCAATTTCTGGAAAATTCTTAGCTCTTTTGTGAGTTCATAATCGAGTAGAATTAAAACAAAATCGTATGGTTATCCGTTTTTGTACACTTACATTGTTGTTTAATATATAATGTAAGGAAACTAGTTAGTGGGATACCACCTAGTAGTATGCCTACAACTACCAAGATTAAACATAAATCATATTTTCGTTGTTGGTACGTCATGTTTTCTGTTTATATGAATGTTATGTATGATGAAATCAATAGAATATTGATTGTCGACATATGTTCTATTCGATGCCAAAGTTTGTTTTTAATTTTACATACATAAGATCAATAGTTTTAATGAATTTTTTTTCTGTCTATGTGAAAATGTTATTTCAAAAAATAAATCGGACAGAGGAGATTAGATGGCTTCTGTCTTTAATTTTAGTTGATGAATTTTCATTGACAAGTCTCGTAAGAAATTGCATTTTTTCTCGTCAAACAAACTTTCATCAATAAACAGAGAATATCAATGTAAAACTAATACGACAACTAATCCTATCTGACATATTACCAAGCAAAAGAACAAACAAAAGTCTGAAATAGCAATTACAATTCACATCAGATCCAAGATTTTTCTCAGTCACTTAAGAAGAACTTCAATCAATAAACTTCATCCATAAATCAGAACTTGAAAGATTCCACAATCTACAAAGCCAGTATCTAATCAACAAGTAAAATAGAAAACAATTATAGTGTCTATTGTGAAATTCTTTGCACAAAAACATTTCTGGCAATGTAAGATAAGTGTGTTGGATCCTGAGCTGGATTCTCTAGTAAATTATACATAGTTCATATGTCGAACATACTTGTCAGAGGACTTATTTTATAGTCTGCGTTGTATCGCAACTATGTTCTACTGTTTTTGAAAGAAGAAAGAAGTCGTCTAGGATCTATCATAGTTCTTCAATCAAGCATAGGATTGTGCAGAGAATGCCCATAGGTAGACGTGAACGCTTGACTTCTTTAATTCAAAGAAAATGGCAAGATAAAAAAAACCTTTATTGAATATTATTTTGTTAACAATGATGAGTGTGGGTGCGATGTGCGCACACGATACACCAATAAGCTCAAACACACAGTTTGTTATATTCTGGACTTGAGAGAGGTATAATAACTTTTCAGTGTGATCATGACTGTCAAAAAGTTATGACTGGCTTCACTTTATCTCATGAACATAGGTGTAGATGTGGTCTTTTTTTCTTCCACATCCACATCTCCATCAAACACATTTTCTAATGCATAGAGTCTTGTGTAGATTATCCAATCGTAAAGCTCTTTAGTCATGTATAATAAAACAATAATGACTTCAACAGAATTTCAAGCATTTTTTTCAGGTATTAGCTATAATTATTCTCTAGAAAACTATTTATTTCAACCAACTATTTGTATATGCATTTCATGCAGATGATTATAGTGAGTAGTCAACAACTTTTGTATCATCCTTTTTATTTCTTTCGTGCATTTTCAAACACAAGAAATTCGAAATTCAACCAAATCCTTTCCACAATGAGTTCGTCACTCCTTATTCCTACTATTTTATTAAATTGTGTGACTATGTAATGTAAGTCAAGCAAGTTATTATGCACAATTGTTTTTAATAAGAAATACCAAACCAGTTTACATTCCATAGATATGTTTGAGAATAACTAAGTAATTGTGTATTAGTCATGGTCTCCAAGGAACGACTGTAAATTCTAAATGATGTTGTTGTAGGGCTATAAATAGCAGTGTAACCTGCTAATATCCAGTGCAAGTTATTACCAGCCATACTAGTGAAATAGAGTGGAGTTGAATTAAAACCACAAGTGCTCGTACTAATGTCCATATATATTCCACTAGTAGAATATAGTTGCCAGAGTGTATAAGATGAGATACCTTCACAATAATACGCTTGATTTGTTGCTACTGTTGTAGTTGTTGAAGTCGTTGTAGTCGTAGCTAAAAGAAAAACAAGAAAACATATTATTAGTAACCGACTACTGAGTGGTTGATAAAACGCTAGTGTACAGGAGATCTACAAAATTCGTTTGTTTCATTAGATTTTGCTTCACGAAAACAATATAGAGAATATTGAATTTACCTAAGAATAAACGAAAATTGATAAAAAAAAATGACTTTCTTAAGTTAATTAATACCAAGAAAAATAATTATGCTGTTTTACTAGAGAAATTTAGTCTCTTCTATTAATATAAAACATCACTTGATCACATAGATTATAATCAATGATAAGTTAAATCAAAAGTCATCAACGAATAATAATCAATCAACAACTGAAAAGTAGACAAAAAATATCCAAAAATTTATCTCTAGGAAATTCATACAAGCCTTATCTCTGTGATAGCGATATTCTATTGTTACAACTAGCAGCAATGCGATAGTTTTAATATACTATGTAGACTAAATCAAAAGCAAAATACTCACAGGTTGTGATTGTAGTTGTTGTTGAAGTACTTATTGCAGATGTGCTTGTGTAGGCTAAAAAAAGAGACATAAGCATAATGGAATATGAATTTCGTTTGTATGAAGAAAATCATCTTGCTAGTCGATTACTCTTTTCTTTTTTTCTGTTGACAAATCAATTATAACAAGTTTTTTACATGAGAGATATAAATCATGAATAGGTAACAAATTGTGACAATTGACGAGCTCCTAGAAAATAATTCTCCATTCTAATGGGTATTCATTATCAAGTAGAATTGAAAACGATTGAAATTTCTTTTTGATTGTTGAATTTATAAATAGATACTAGAACTATTTAGATATTTCTATCATGATTAAATGTTTATACTACAACGAAATTATTCATCTGTAGATTTTGTTTGTTTTTTAGAAGAATACAATAGCTTGAGAATAGTATCTGAAAACTAAAACTGATATGATTATCTGTTTATTTCCACACTTACATTGTTGTGTCATATGTAATGTA